CTCAGCTGGGGGGAGGGTGGTCGGAGCCATGGAGAGGGTGCTCCATGGTCCACCCCCTCTCTTGATGCCCCTTGATCACGTGTGCCCCCTGCCCAAGGTCTGCTCACGCGGCCTATCATAGCGGGGTGACTGTAACACAGGGACCAGGCGCACCGTGTGGGATGCATGCCCCAGGGGTGGCGCCTACCCTACCTGCACTATTTGCAGCCGGGGGGGTGTTCTCGGTGACTAGGCTTCTCGTCGTGCACCACCACCAGGTGACCAGCGGCCGCAGGTCGGGGCAGGCGCTGAGCAGCCAGCGAGCATGCAGCGCCATGGAGCAGTACAGGCACCACCTCATCTCGCCACGCACCTGCAGCAGCAGGGAGAGAAGGGCGGGCAGCCACCTGGACAGCCAGCCTTACTGCAGTCTCAGCTGAGTGCCAGTTTGGATTGCAGCATGCCCTGCAGCAGGGTGCCCCGGGGGCTCCCTCAACACCGCGCCAGCCCCGCAGCGCTGCCGGCCTCTCATGGCAGCGTGGCAGGCTGGCAGGCCTCACCAGGTCGCCCAGGGACAAGCCCAGGAAGCCCTCATTGGCCCAGCCCTCCAGGCCAGGGACGCGCGTCAGATGCATGGGAGCGTCACATGCAGGCTGGCGGCCGGCAGCAGCGCCAGCTGCTGCCTGAGGCGCACACCCGGGCTCATCTGGCGACTGGCGCTGCCGCTTGGCAGGCCGACCGTTGGTGGCAGCGGTGCCGGGAGGTGGCGCTGCACTGGTGCTCGCTTGTGCTGGAACTGGCATGCTGGAAGCTGGGCAGATTAACCCTTGCGTATGGAGTTGGTGGCTGGCAAGCGCTAGGCAGCTGGCACACGACAGTCCAAGGGAGTGGGGTTGAGTCGCTTCAAGCGGAGGGTCGCACAGGGGGACATAGCTAGCAGTTGAGCGAAATCATGCCCCCCCACCTCCTCGCCGACGAGGTGCCAGCGAGGCCCACCGCGACCAGCGGCACTTCAGCTGTTTGTCAAACAGGGCGAGTACTCTGAGCACAGGTTTCGCATCCTAGTTGTTGTGAAGCATAGCATACAGCGTTGCAAGTTGGCTGGGCTGTCATGGCATCCCGTCCCAGAACTGCAGCCGTGGTTTGCGGCGTGCAAGCTCAGCCACCATGCCAGGCCTGCAGTCGTCCAGAGTGATGGCTTGCAAGTGTGGCAGCCGAGCCAGCATGTCGACAGATGCTTGGTCGAGGCGAAGCCCGGGGTTGCCACCCAAGCCCAGGGTTTGCAGCCGCGTGGCGGCAGCCAGAGCCGCGGGCAGCGGCCCCTCCAGGCGGCTTCCAGACAGCCACAACTTGGTGAGGCCTGCAACGAGCAAGCGCGTGGACAGGGAGGTCAGCGGGCACCAGAGGGAGAGGCGCTTGCAATGCAGCGGTACCACAGCTGTAGGCCCTGCAAAGCACTCGTCCAGCCAGTTTCTGCCAGTGAACAGAGACACGCACTGGCATGCCTCACCTGCCAGGTAGGGCCCGGGCGGCAGGGAGGGCAGCAGGCAGCGGCGAGTCGAAAGCTCCTCCAGCTGGCGCAGCGCGGTCACAGCCGGCGGCAGGCCGCAGGCCAGCTGCTTGCCGGGCTCGCCATCCGCTCCCCAGATGTCCAGGGCACGCAGGCCGGGGGTGAGGGCAACCACGGCGCCCAGGGCACGCTGCAGGGCCTCATCATCCCACACCGCGTGAACCAGGCGGAAGGTAAACTCCAGGCTGGTGACGCTGGCCAGCAGCGGACCGCAGGCGGGGCTGGAGAAGCCTGCCTCCTTCACAAAGCAGTCTATCAGGGACAACCTGACGAGCGCTGCCCCTGCTGGCAGCACCGCGCGCAGGAGGGCGGCCAACATTGTGCCGCTGCCTTCCGCTGTCGCCACCTCCTCTTCTTCATTCCAGAGGAATGTCTGTCTGTCCAGGTCAGCAGACACCAGTGTCACAGCCACATCACCCCTCCCCCGAGCCTGCCGCTCGGGGAGGATGGAAACGTGGTACTGTCCTGCTGCTTGTTGAAAATAGCACAGGTTGCCACACGGCATCTGCGCAAAGAGGCAAGCGTACGTGGAGGGTCAGAGGTGATGGGGTCAGGTGAGGCAGATACGGCTGGCTGGCACCGATGGCGTGCTGTGCAGGCTCCATCCTCGGCAGCAGCATGCACGTGGCCGGGCAGCTTGCCTGCATGGCGGCTGCATGGAGTTCGAAGCGAGCCAGCTGTGGGAAGGCTTGAACCGCGGGCAGCTGCAGGCCAGACTCAGAGCTCTCCTCCTCAAACAGTCCAAGGCAGGTCAGGTTGGTGAGCGCGCTCAGGGGTCGACAGCCGGGCAGCGGCGCTCCTGAGGACAGCTCCAGAGCAGCAAGGGAAGGCAGATGGGCTGCAGCAGCTGGCAGGTCTGCCGGTATCTCAGCAGCCATCAGGTCGAGGCATGTCAGCGCCGTCAGCTGGCCGACCATCCATGCGCAGCTGGGCGGCAGCGAGCCGGCTCCAGCGCCGTACACATGCAGCCGCTTCAGGCCGGTGAAGCGGTGCAGCACCTTGGCAGCCTCCTCGCTCAGGCGGTAGCCGCTCAGGCGCAGATCACGCAGCCTTTGCGGGTGGAAGCGGGCCAGGAAGTCGGGCAGGCGGCTGGCGACGGTGGCCGCAAGCTTCGTTCCGTCCAGGCTGGCGTGCTCGTACGCACTGCACGGGCCCCACCACGAGTCCACCTGGAGTTCGAAGGCACGGATGTGCTGCCCGGTGTGCTGCACACGTTGCAGCCGCCGCTCCAGGATCCCGCTCTCAACCCCGTCCCCCATATAAAGAAACGAAGTGAAGCAGGCCCAGACCTCCTGGTCGGAAAAGTAGACGCGGCACCAGCGCTTGCTGACGAGCGCAAGATTCAGCCTGCAGGCGGGAGTTTGCGGCAGGCAGGGATTCCTTCATGGTGGCAACAGGCTTCCACATGGCACGCATGTTGACATCAGTGCAGCTCAGCACACAGCACATGGCAAGTATGTCATTGCAGCTTACTGCGCAATGTCTTCCATGTCCTTGCCCGTCACACTCAGCGCCAAGATGCGGCCAAGGAGGGCGTCTGGAAGGGCGTCAAACGGGCTGCACGTTGGGGCAGCCCGCCGCTGCGGCACCCTGGTGCTGGCCATTCTGCAGTCGAGGGAAGACCACGAGGACCGCGGTCAGATGGCAGCAGTAGTGGCAACCTTGGAGGCGGTCATTCAGACTGCTTGCTTCAGCGGCGGCCACCGCGGCAGCACGCACAGGGCGTGACGGCGGGGGCAGCCTCTGCTGAGGGCCAGGCGGCCTCGTGCTTGAGCGGCAGCCCTTGCAGGCAGCTGTATCTGTGCTCCGGCCAGCAGCCACCTTGCCTGGTGCGGTGGCAGCTTGAATATTTGGTGGAGGCTCGATGCCCAAGTCGTGCTCTGGCTCGTCAGGGATGTTGCCAGCAGCAGCTGCTGTGTGCACAAAGGCAGCTGCTGACGCCAAACGTAAAAGCGTGCCTGTACATCACACGTACTGCTGGCACACAGCGTAGTCAAACAGAACCACAGCTGAACAACCACACCCTCAGGGGCTGTGCAACCTGTCAGCAGATGGCCAAGAGCAGAGCGGGACAGCTGCGGGAATGGCAACAGCCGTCAGCTCCCGCGCTGCATCCTGGGGCTTGTGCAAACACATCCATCTTTGCCCACCCTGGGAGGGGTGTGCCCGGCAAGCAGCTGACGCGGCCTGCCGCCGGCTGTGACCGCGCTGCGCCAGCTGGAGGAGCTATCGACTCGCCGCTGCCTGCTGCCCTCCCTGCCGCCCGGGCCCTACCTGGCAGGTGAGGCATGCAAGCGCGTGTCTCTGTTCCTTGGCAGGCCCTGGCTGGACGAATGCTTTGCAGGCCTACGGCTGTGGTACCGCTGCGTTGCAAGCGCCTCTCCCCTGGTGCCCGCTGACCTCCCTGTCCACGCGCATGAGGATTCCAGGCGCATCTTGTTGCAGAGCGTGTCGCTACATCAGGATAGACAGTGTAACTGCCGAGCGGCGGCCACAGGCTGCTTGGCCAGCAGCGAGCACGTTGCACGACCACACGCAGGGCTGCAGCCCACAGGCAGGTCGATAGCGACGGGGCAAGGTAGCGCCGGACTGGCGGGTTGAGCAAATAGGAAGCAAGTTGAGGGGTTGCACCCACGCGCAGCATAGCAAATGTGAACAGATGTACCAAAAATGAAATAATACAGTGCATGGTGGGGCCGCACGGCGCGGCAGCCTGTTCACCTCCCTCCTCGCCAGCATGCCAGCCATTTGCCTGGCGGCCTCCTGGCCTCACGGATGCGCGGCGCCGGCCGCTTGGGAGCCTCAGATCTGCAGCGCGGCTGCGATGGGCTGCGCCAGCGACAGCACCTCGAAGGGGGCGCGGTCGGTGACCGAGGTGACGGTGGCGGGGCAGGAGTCGGTGATCCAAAAGAACCTGCGGGGGCAAAGGCCCAGTGCGTGCGTGGGTGGCATGTGCTGTGTATATATGCGCGTGTGTGTGTGCTTTGGGTGATGATGATGCAGCAAAGGGGGACTGACTCTGGCTGTGCAGCGTGCAGGGCGGCTCCACAGCTGCCCAGCGGGCGGGGCCCCGGCTCCGCTCCCACCCCAGACCCAACGCGCAGCGGCAGGCGGCCCCGGCGCTCACTTGAAGCCGTCTGTCGCGCCGTTGCCGCCCTCCCCCTCAAACCGCCGCCACGACTCGTTTGGGAACACGCCGTGCGTGACGTAGGCGCTCACGTGGGCGGCGCCCTGCGTGGCCAGCAGCCGCTGGCACTCTATCAACGTGCCGCCTGCGGCGCGGCAGCAGGGGGAGCCGAGGAGCCGAGGAGCAAGGAATCAGGTTGGGGGCCAGGTTGGTTGCAGGTGAGGACCAGGGGCGCCCGTGTGCCCGCCTGCTGTCATACCCACTGCTGTGAGCAGCGCAGCAGTTGGGGCGCCGGCCCGGGCCCTGCGAAAGGCCCCACGTTGGCCCCAGCGTGAGCCACCTCGCGGCACCCCGCCGCTACATACCAGGCCCCCCCACCCGTCACCGCCGCCCGCCCCGCCACCCACCCACCGCTCTGCACCAGGTCGTCGACGATGACGACGTGCCGCCCGCGCGCCGTCCCCTCCTTGAGCCGCACAATGCGCTTGTCGCCGTCGCGCACCTTGGTGCAGATGACCTGCGGGCGGGGTGGGGGGGGGTGCACGGGTGGGTGTGCAGGGTGTGTGTGGGGCCAGTGGGTGGGTGCATGGTGTGTGTGCAGGGGGTGTGGGGCCAGTGGGTGGATGGGGCCTCGGTGTCGGCCGGAT